TGCGTAGTTCTAGCTGCTCTAACTCATCGAAGATATTGAAATTGGGCGGTACGCCGAGAGCCGAAGTATTGCCTTCAACATCAGCTTCGAACTCAGCCATGAGCTTGCCTTCCAGACGGCAGATAAAGAAGGTAAGTTGGATTACTAACACATAAGCTCTAGCGTTATGAGTTAGATGAAGGATTCTGGCCTTCTCGTGCGGCCCATCCGTATCACTAAGGTTCTGGTACCATAGGCTCTCCATTACTTCTCCGCAACGATCCTTGATTGCGTATAGTGTGCTAACTGCCTCCTTTACAGTCCATGACCAGTGCTTCTTCGGTAAACAGGCCGCAGCATCTACCAATGTAAGAAATCTTATGCCTTGGCGTGTCAGCTCTCTACCAAGTCTTTCCTGCTTTGCCCAAACTCTGTTGGGCAGTACGCGTTTTGCGTTGCTCATGAGAGTCTGGAAGCTAACATCCTCTTCTTCGGGAATTGGTTCGGGCAACATCTCAGGTGCTGCGAAAGTAGATGAGTGGGGTTGCGGCCGATAAGAAAGTCTCATCAGGTCAGTGCTTCCAAACAGCTCCTTCAACTCGTCACGCACACTCTCAGGCCGTTGAGGCTCGTTATCTTCTGCCAAATGCCGATCTGCAGCTGCTAGAGCATCATCCAGGCGCATCGATATGCGGCCATCGATCCAGTTACCGGGCATGTCTGATGGGCGCAGAAGTCTTGATGTGCTATCGTTGTTCCTTGCGGAGTTGATTCTCGTTTGGGTAGACAGGCTGAACAGTCGGGGCTAAGGCGCAACAGGAAGGATACGTAGGCTCTATTTAGCGGTAGGAACCTGTACAGAATGCACGTGTGCGAAGCAAAAGATGTGTATCAAGTGACCAGGTAGCAATGAAGATCGTTTGGAGATGAGCAACAATGCAGCGCATTTGCATGTATTTACGTACCCCCAAGGCTATATAGTAATACTGTTCGCTGTTTCAAGAAACTACAAACAAGGCAGTCTGGCAGCTAGATTGTTCTACATTGATCTGTCGCGAGTTTCTACTAGAGAACGCCAGTGAACTAGCCTAGAGTGTCAAGAGACTCATGGGAACATCTTGCAGTCTCAAACTTCACAAACATTACAACAGATTGTCACAAGAGCACTTGGAAGGATACCAATAAGGTGAAACAGCATCTTCATTGTCAGCCGATGTAGCCTATACCACTATCGGACCTGGATACCACAGCTCCTCCTACCACTACTAAGTCCAATCCAATTCATACTGATCTTTATAATATAAACATATTTACTTTTCCTCCAAACTCGAAACCTATTGCCAGTCGTTTACGCGCCCTGGATACGACGGCAGAGAGGGCGGCCCCTCTCAAGGGTGTTGGGGTCGCAGTTCAACCGGCTGTCCTCGATGCAGGTCAATTGGGCACCGCCTGTGTGGTACTATTAGCTCCGAACGCTCGTTTGTGGATATCTGAGTTGCTCACAGTTGTTGACGCTGTCGGGGACACATCGGCCGCTCTGTCCGTTGACAGTGCACACATCCTGCTTCAAGCTGGTGTTTGCGACACAGCACGCGCCTTCGGGAACGGGACGGTTGTCGTTGGCGCCTTGGGGCCTGGCAGCTGCGAGGGCGGAGAGAGCGAGGACAATGGCGGAGATGGTGAACTTCATTTTTGCGGTCGGGTTGGTTGGTTGGTGATTTGGGAGGTATCGGTGATAGTGTTTATGTTAAGGGATTATTGATAATGAAGAACCGACCAGCGGAAGGAATAGAATTGAATAGAGAGCGAAGTAGAGAGTAGTAGAGAAGACTGTGATTGAAGATGCTGATGAGGCTACTGTTCGGCGCGGTACCAGGCCTCTCTTATACACGCTGCCTCAGGAAGCTCCGCAGGCGTAGATGTTGGCCTCGGCCCAGCAAAGGCTTCACGATGCATTGCTTTCCCTGGCCGCAACACCGGTACTGCATCCTGCATCTGTCCCAATTCCCTCGTCCTACACAAAAGTTCCACCGGTAGAAAACACACGAGACAAACACAAAACAACACAATCGGTTGCGTCGGCCTGGAAAACACGGCCACACACCTGCTTCGAGCATGGCGGAAACGGGCGCGTGAAGAGAATGGATACCTTGGCGCTCAGGCGCCCTTGAGGCGAGGCATATCACGATACGCAGATCATACAAGAACGGTCGCTTAGACCTTCTAGGCGCTTTGCGAGACGTTGGAATGATGGCGGGAGGGTAAGGAGGGATGAAACTGTCATGCTGTTTGGGTGCCTGGGGTGAAACGTTAGCTTCCGTGGAGGGCGGCGAGCCACAAGCGAGTCGTGACCTCCCGAGGTCGACAGTACATTGCGCCTCATGAATTCGATGAACTCCAAAAGTTCTGGGTTTTTGCCATTTTTTGAGTCGTCCTACATGGAAGAGTCGCTCGTAGGTCACGGCTAGCACACGTGTCGTCACAGTTTAATTAAACTGCAAGAAACTTGATGCTTCTGAGCGAAAGGAAGTTCTAGTTCGATGCAAAACCACTGTGCAGTAGTGTTTATTGTGGATGCCTGCAGATTTGTATCGGCACATACCTAGTCTTACAACAGCGCGTATGCACTTGCTCTTTCCAATGTCAACATTGGTCAGAGGTAGTCGCGAGAGCACAGTCGCGGGATCTTAATATGGCTTGAACCTTGCCTTCTCTTTCTTGTCCTTGCGTCTCTTCTTCGTTGATCCCACTCCTTCATCAACGTCCATGGTGCTCTCTTCTGAAGGTTTCCAAGCACGAATGTGCCCATCTTCGCCGCATGTGTATGTTGTGTTTGTCTGCCATGTATGTCAGCTATAGAACGTCATGTCATATTGTAATGAGATTGTGCCTACATGAGTATCAGTGAAGAGATCGCGGACAATCTCCTCGCTGTGGGCGCCTGGGAAGGATATGCTCTTGTCGAGATCGAAGCTGTAATCCAGATGTCCATTGGTACCTTTATCGATCGGTATGAGGTTGAGAAGATTCTCGCTGTGATCACTTAATACTGATAATCGCTTTGGTATACACCACAGATGGAAGACATACCTATGCTTCCCTGCAGCAATACAGGCTTGTTGTCCGACCCATGCCAGATCCACGACATACTCACATCCTAATCCTTCCCTAACGTCGCCCCACACCTTCGGAGTTGGTTCTTCCTCTTCCTCTTTCTGGCTCTGTAGAGCAAAGAAACTCACTGTCTCGTCCGTACCAATTGCATAGATGTCTGTGCCAGGATACATGAAGCCTGCATGTGCAATGGCTGATCCATGGTTCACAACTTGGTACAAGGCATCATCTTCATCTGCCTGAGAAGTGTCGAAGATGTTGATTAGGCCGTCCGTGCTAGATGATAAGAGTAGAGTTGGATGCGATGGGTGCAAAGCAAGGTTTGTCACGGTGTCAGTATGAGACTCTACGTAGGATCGGAGAGGAGCTGCAGGGCTGCGCTGATCCCTAAGGATGGGTTAGTGATACTGATGCTACCAATAGACGAGGGCTGTGGCGATGTACCATATGTAGACCGGTGAGCTGGTCGGTCCGTCTTCTGGGTTTTCGATACCAGCAGCAACGAAGTTCTTTTCAGCGTCGCACACCAGTGCTGAGACAAGCTTGTGTGCTGTGCTGATCGTTAGCCTCACATCCCTCGCATCCAGCTAGGCAAGGATCTAGTCACTCACGACTTTGTATTTCTAAAACCTTCTGCTTGCTCCTCTTGTCCCAGAACCTGATCAATCCGTCTCTTCCTGCTGTTGCGACAACATTGCTGGGTGCATCGTTCGCTCTTTCCAGACAGGTTATGTTTTCATTTGCGTTTGCGATCACACCATCGGGTTGTAAGTCGGCGCTATGAAAACGCAACGAGTCGTCCGAAGATATGCAGGCCAATTGCTCGGTCAAAGAGTAGGTAAGAGGATCTTGCCGTGACGCTGTGGAGATGATTTTGTAGATGTACGAGCCGGCCGGAAGCCCGGCGTTGGCGCTAGAGATCTGGCGGAGAGGCGTCATGGGGTTCTTCAGTCAATGTGTGTTGATGTTATTGCTGCAGGTGTGACGATGGGCGAAAGAGGTCTTGTTATTGCGACGGCAGCGGGACGAAGTTGAAGTAGAAGAAAATTTGCAATCACCGAGCGTGGTAACGATGCCTCGACCCAAGCGTTATCGAACACCCACATTGCCTTGTTGCCTACATTTTCGGACGACATCGTAGGCACAAGACGAGTGTAATGACAGAAATTACCCGTCAACGCCTTCACGTGCCCGCTCCAAATGATGGGCAAATGGGTCGACCAGCATGGGAAAGCTCGACGCTACAATGCTGGAATTGCGCATCTCATCGTTTCGCAAGCTTCGCATCAGATGTTGTATCGAGGCCTTCGTGTCGAAAGGTTACAAATTTCACGCAAAAACACAATATGTAGCCTTGATATGAAACTCGTGCAGACATAGTCTTAGTCAACACAAGCGATTAATACAGGCAGTCCCTCTCCGATCCCTCCTGAGCCCCATCCACTGACATAACGCCAGCAGACAAAATAGGCCGTCACTCCCGCAGTTCAGCACGTCAAGCGCTCCTTGCCGGCGATATCGAGGTTCGTGAAGGAAAGGAAGTTGGCAGGGCGCTCGCGAGAAAATATCGGGTGTCCGCCAAGTGCGTGACTAAGCCGCGTAATACTAGGCTGCTGATTGGGCGGTAGGGGGACCTCGGGAATCGGGAAGATTTGGGCTGGCGGCACTGCGCATCATCGACGGCCGACAACCACCACACGACACCTGACGGCTCTGTCGATTGGCATCAGAGAAACTACACAATGGCTTCTCAGCGGGTATTCCAACTTGGCCTGCGACGGGCGGCCGCGCCTAGTCTGAGGGTACAACCGGCGGGACGCATGGTCCAGCGGAGGTATGTCATAGCAGCATCGAGCTTCCTCGCACCACTTGTACCGCCTATACTCATGCGCCCGCGGATGCTAACAATGGAGAACGTAGACTCGCAGCGACCGAACACGCCTCGCAGTCCGAAGCAGCCGAGATCCTCGCGAAGCAGCGCATCTACCGCCCCGTCTCCCCCCACCTGGCTATCTACAAGCCGCAAATCACCTGGTACGCCTCGTCGCTCAACCGCATCACGGGAATTACCCTCTCCGGCTCCCTCTACCTCTTCGGTATCGCCTACCTGATCGCCCCTTACACTGGATGGCATCTCGAGACACAGTCAATGGTGGCGGCCGTTGCTGCATGGCCCGCGGCTGTGAAGATGGGAGTGAAGGCCTTCTTCGCTTTCCCGTTCTTCTTCCACAGCTTCAACGGCCTGAGGCATTTGGCGTGGGACGTGGGTATCGGATTCAAGAACCAACAAGTCATCCGAACCGGATGGACCGCTGTCGGATTGACGGTCGTCATGGGTCTTTACTACACTTTCCTCGGATAAGCGATCGCACTTAGATTGAGTCAGTAGGGCGGTGAACAGAGACACGATGCGATTTGGGTGGTGGCGATGAAGGAGAATAGCGAGACAGTAGAGGAGGAGACGGAAGGACTGCAGGAGGAGAGATACGCAGGGTTGGACGTCGATTATTTCTTGGAGGATGACCAAGGGTACGAGCAACATGTACAGAGTCCACGTCAATCGAATGACGATTTCTTTCTTTGCATATTCGTGACCAGGCTCTGAGCTAGGTGGTGGTGATGCACTGAGCATGTAGAGAACCAGCATTGCTCTTCTCTAGACGAGCGCGCGAATGGCAGCAGCCTTTTGAAATGTTTGAGGACATGAGTATACACCGACCATGTCGAAAGCCTAGAGAATGTTATCCGGACAACCGACATGCCTTGACGAATTGAAAGAATGCAAGGCACGCAGTGTCAGTAAGCAATAGAAGATGGCAGTCTAATATAGGCGGGACCAATGCGCCTGTCAAATCCAAGGCGGCGAAGAGAGAAGCGCAACGCTTGGTCCAGATGTCACTGACTGGCACGGGACCACGCGTTAATTGGCGCGTAGCCGCCACGGCTGATTTGCAGTAACCACGAAAGACAGTGAGCATCTGCGCCTTGCTGCGAGGTGCACTCAGAGATGAGCTTTCGCCATGGAGGACTCGCAAACTCCCACGGTGCTTGGGGATCTTTTCTACGATGTGAGTATTCGTCTTCTGCGTCGCGTCTGGATAGCGTGTTGACCCCGGCCGCCGATCGCTCGAGTTGACTGACGCCACACCAGGACCCATCTCAACTCTCCCAGGCTCTCAAGCAGCGGGCCTGCAGCGACAAGCCATTCCGCTTCACCACATCTACTGAGAGTCCGCACTCAGGCAACCACGCTCCTTTAGTTCTGCCTTCGGCCCAGCACACGGGTTGCGTCTCTCTGCACCTGCCCGTCGTGCTTTCCCCGTTCAACCGCGCTCTTTCCCCACGACGCGCCGCGACCACAAAACATGTCAAGCCCGCCGCCTTGCTCACCCACCACAGCGCGCCCACAACCACTGGCAACATAAAACACGGGGACAGCGTATTCAAGATGTACCACAGCTTCAACATGATGGACGCGCCGGGCGACACCCAGCCGGACAGTCAGATGATGAAGACATGGACAAGCGGCATATATACCAGCGAGGCCAAAGAGGTCAATCCTCCTAAATCGCTGTTTGTGGACCATTCCGACGACGACAATGGCGACGAACTGCCTACAGATGAGATGGACATAGTTGCATCGAGTCAAGACCAGCACATGCCAACGCCTACGAGCCCTACCGTAATCGACGCCGACGACGACGGTTATGCGCAGAATAGCATGGCGCCTACAAGTCCTCTCAAATTCCAAACACCGGCATTGGCAGACAGGCATAGGGGGAACTCTGGCCAGACGCTCAGCTCGGCCGTGCGGACAAACACTACGCCTGCCACCGCTGATTCACCCTCGCTGTTCTTTCCGGCTTTCGACAATGGAGGCGATGGCGGATTACAGCATATCTCGCTAACACAGGCCTTCAACAACACCCAGGCGCCTACTTCGCCCGCTGTGGGCGGTGTTGCAGAAGATGTGGTTTTCACGCGCCCTTCGCCCAACTTCAGCCACTTGCGACACTCCAGTCCAATTCCCGCCTATTCCAGCCCCATCAAAGCCATGCGCCCCGACACACCCAAATCTGATCCCGTCGTACGATCATCCAGCGAACCACGAGCCGAATACGTTACAATGAAGCAATCGCAGGAGAAGCGGAGGCCTTCTATAGGAGATGAGCAGAGCGTGCCCATAGACCAGGATAGCTGGCAAGAGCTGTCTCGGAAAGTGAAGGCGCAGAAGGCAAGGGAGCATGCCCATCGCCGGGCTGCCAGCTCCTTGTCACACATTTCTGTGCCGACACCATTGGTATCGCGATCCGGAAGGAAGCGCGTACCGGATGTCGGTTTACCATCGCCCGTCAAGTCGAGGAACTCACGAGGTGGCGAACATAGTGAATGTCCGGATGACGGTGACGAGACAATGGACGAGCAGTCACAACCCATAGTGGGGAACGGGGTGAAAGACTACAATACCGAACAATTGCCCGACGGGTCGTCACAGAATGCGGCCCATACCGCACGGACTAGAGTGAGACGTAATAGCAACGACAATAGTGTGCAGGTTCCCAAGACTTCCTCGCACCCTCACCGCACTTCACGAACTTCTACCCAGCAAGCAATTCCCTCCTCGCAGCTGCAGCACGAGTCGCAACTACGGAACGAGAATACACAGCGATTTCTACGAGACACAAATCAGCCACCTAGCAGCAAGGAATCAATTGCTGTTATGGACTCGCAACCAGATGCAACCGCAGACTTCGATAGTGTACCGCGACCAAAATCGCTACGATTTCCATCGTCACCATCGATGAATCAATACAGTATCAACCAGACTACCATGGCCACTAAGACCGGATATACGAGTCAGGTCATCTCTTCATCAATGCCCCCCATGCCACCCAAGTCTAGCCTGGATGACGACGAGATCCCCGACGGGGAAGAGCGCGTACCCAGCAGCCCTCCACTTCTGAGACCCGAAGACGCAGAAGCAGAAGAAGGCGATCTGCAATACGATGAGCACACCTACGACGAGTACGTAGAGGGAGCAGCTGACCGGGACACTGCGACACCGACCATTGAAGAAGACACCGTAATGGACGAGGACGAGGACCTACCGCTTGCAAATGAGGAGCTCGAGGGCAACGCTACAATTGAACTCCAAGGTGAAAAGTCTGATGAGGAGCTTGATCTCGTCCAACCCGGCAAAGTGGATATGGGAACCGACCAGCAAGTTCCGGAAACCTTTGAACAAGATCAATCTATGGATGGCATCCGCGATGGCGATCTATCACGGCAAAATCCGACTACGGAGCCACCCAAGCCACCGAGCATGCGACGTCAAAACACTGTACCAGAGACTGACGCACTCGATGAGACGCAACCCACGTTCTTCACAGATAACATGTCTGCTGAAGCCACAGGGGACGACGCTGCTGTACTCCGTGAGACAAACAGTACAGAGGCTTTCCAGACCGCCCAGGAAGAACATAGCCTGTCTGAGCCGAACAAGGCGGCACCTGTTAGCTCGAAAGACAATGGAAGCGATGTGATCCGTGGAGATCATCGTATCCATTCTATTGATGACATTTACAATCTACCCGAGACACAGCAGTCAGTACCAGAAGAAGATATCGAAATGCCACGGTTGAGTGGTCTTGAGGATGACGATTGCGATGCCTTCATGGCTCCGACTTCACCAGCACCTCCGTCTACAAAAAGGCGCAAGGTTACATACACAGCGAAGCGTGGTGTTTTTCGCAGCCCATCAAAGCCGACCACAGACGAGGACGCACTTACAGAGCCGCCCAAATCACCCCGTCTCGAGCAGGTTCAGCACGCGCCTGAGGACACTCCGCCGACTGCGTCAGTTCAGGCACGAGAAGATAAGGGCGCATTGGCCGCTACGCGTGAAAGAGAAGCGGTACAGGCCCCATACAAACGAACGACATCTTTAAAGTCAAAGATCTTGCCAAAAGCCAGTAGAGCCCAGAAGGAGAGGCAGGGCGCGTTGAAACCAGTATCCAGAGAACTCTTGCAGAGCCTATCTTCACCGGCGAACTCACCAGCAAAACCAAAGCCTTCTTTAGAGGTGCGTAAAAGTACTCCACTCACTCCTACGAAGCCTCGGGAAGTAGTTGTCGATAGACCAGCCGATGTCGAGATGCTCGACGCTGCTGTTGAGCCGGATGAGCCCATCAGCTCCGCACCCCATTCGAGCAACGCCGAGATGCCACTAGAAACTCCGTCGCAACGTGTCATAACCCCACCAGGGGAAATCATTGTGCCAAACAGGGTCTTCGCGTCCTGGCCAGGCAGCCATTACTATCCTGCCACATGCATCGGTCAGGCCACTGCCCGTCAGTTGCAGATCCGCTACGACGATGAAAACATTACGTCAAGGGATGCAGTGCACGTCCGTGCTCTGAGTCTCCGTAGGGGTGATCAAGTCAAGGTTGATGAACTCGGTATGAAGAAGAACGTTTATGTCGTTGTCGATTTCAAGGACAGGATCGATGACCTCAGTGGTGCAGAGTTTCCCATTACTGACCAACGCGGATATACGACAGTTGTTCTGGAAGAACGCGCCCGGGAGAGCTTGCCCAAAGCTAAAGCAATGCAGCCAGCGGAGCACATATCCGTGCCTGTGGGTAAGATCTACCTGACCGCTTCACTCTGGAAGCGACTTCGCGATCGATCCTTCAACTTCTCTGCAGCCATCACGCCAGCCAAGCCAGCTTCTCATTTCGGCACTCCTGTTGCTGATCCATTCACAACACCCTCTTTCAGCCGACGAGGAACAGGAGTACCATCACTGCTGAAAGACGTTACCACACGTGCCGCGTCTGTGGCATCTACCGCCCGATCCGGCAGTGGCGTGTTTGCGAACATGGCTTTTGTTCTTACTTCTACTGCAGCAGACGTGGACAAAGATGTTGTTGCTAGGCAAATCAAGAGCAACGGTGGACAAGTCCTAGAACAAGGTTTCCACGAGCTTTTTGAGAGTGAGCCCAGTGAGGCACCAACATCATCTCAGAGCCGTCGTAGATCGGCCTCTATCGAGGGGTCTGCTGCACTAGTGCTCAAGCAAGCATACAGAGACCTGGGCTTCGTCGCTCTCATCTCTGATTCTCACTCTCGCAGCACCAAGTACATTCAAGCACTCGCCCTCAATGTTCCATGTCTGCATCTTCGCTGGATTCATGACTCGCTGAACGCATCTCGTGCTGCGCCCTTTACGCGATACCTTCTGCCCGCTGGTGTTTCCAAGTTCCTCGATCCGAACGGTGTCGTGCGATCCCGTACAATGGCTCCTTACGACCCGGCTGGCGAGGACGTCTCCTTCGCCCAAATCATACAAGATCGTGATCT